GCTAGTTCATAAAGCAGTATTAGAATTAAATGATAAAGTAGATAAACTTGAAAAAGAAATTAAGGAATTGAAAAAAGAAAAATCTAAATAATAATATATAATGGGTAATTCAAACAGTAAAGTTGAAACTTCAAGTATTGATAAAATCAATGATATTGATGTAGAACAATTAGATTTAAATAATATTGATAAATTACAGTTGAAAGCAATTAAGCAAATGAGTGAAAGATTAGAAAAACTGGAGAAAGTAAAAAGTGACAAATTAATATATAGATTACCGGTTCAGATTTGTAGCTATTCATTATTTTGAATTAATAACATTAAGCCTTTGGCTTAATGTTATTAATTGCAAAGATAAAAATAAAAATCATTGATGACTTTAATAGTTAACATAATATATTTGAATATTTATTTTATTTTAAATGATTTTTCAAATCTAACATATTTAGTTATTTTTTAATCATCTGGCACTCTTGTTGAACCACCATCACTATAATTATCACTATCACTATCAGTATCATTTTCTATACGAATATGTTCTTCTAATTCTTTCCTCATTTTTTCTGCTTCCTTAAAAGTAATATGACAATCACTTTCAATATGGTTAACAGCATCCTTCATTAAAAAAGTTTCACCACATTCACACTTTACTAATTGTTGCAGTCGTTGCTTCCGGTATTCTTGAATTTGTTTTGGTATATCGTCGCCGAAAAACCTTACTGGTTCTTCATATATTCTTTCTTGAACCATTTTTAACATTCTATAATATATAATAGATTTATTTTATTTTAAAAGCTTTCTCAAATCTAACATAAAACATATTATTAACATCTTTGGAATTCATATTGACATAAAAGAAGGAGTAGGGCTTATCATCTACTGCTTTATGATACATATTTAACAGTTGCTCTTTATCAACGATGGCCGAGTTTTCCTCAATGAATGACATTAACTCTGATACATTCTTTAACTTGAAGATATACAACGAACTAGAATTCAACCTAATGATTGGTGCTAGGACACGATATTTTTGAACGCTTAAACAAAAACTAATGGCATCGTGCCTCCCTCTCGTTGCCAGTCCATGTAATAACTTACTGTATCTAACGAATTTAGGGTCATCTGCGAAGTCATCAACAATAATCAGTATTGAGTGTAATTTCTTCATTTTCTGTTCTTTCATATAATGAATAATCTTTCTTTGTGTGTTAATTATTTCTTCCAGTTCTTCAGGTTGGTATGTGTCATAATATAACTTTTCTTTTTCATCATCAACCTTCATATTATCTTTTTGATATTTCTTGACTTCAACGAAGGTAGGGTCATTATGAACCGACGGGCTAAAAATGAATATACGGGCGAAGCAGTCCCTATAAACATTTAGGATAAGGTTTTGAATTAAAACTGTTTTGCCACCCGTTGATGAAGCAACAACAATTGAGCGAAAAGGTAGTTTTGGTACATGTTCATATTTAGATTGTTTGAAATCGTAATCAGTTATATTTATTGGTTTTATTATTGGAACGTTTGTCATAATTGATATTAAAGATATATAGAAAATTATATTTAAAAATTAACTTGTAATTATTATTGAATGGAACATCTTTATGTTATGAGTGGTTGTGAATAACATAACGGAACAGGCTTTCCATTCTTCAATCAATAAGCATTGAAGCTAATTAGTTTGAATTAGTTTGAACCTCGCTTGCGTTGTCCAGTGCAATGAAAACTCCAAGTGCTGTGCCCCCCATCAATATTCTATTATGCATGAAATAATAAGATTAAATAATTATTTCATCTTATTATTTATATGAATAGAAGTTATTCAGATTATATTGATATAATAGATGAAGTAGAGAATATAGAACAAGTGATAATAACTGACAACAGATGTAAGAAAGTATGCTTTTATACATTAGAATTAATAAAATTAGGAATACAATATATCAAAAATAAAAATGTAAATATTAATATAAATGGGAAAAAAGAAAAACAAAAAGAATAAAACAGATACTACAGTTTCTTCAACAGATGAAGACAAAGAAGAAGAAATTGTTAAAGAAACATCAGTTATTGAGTTTGAGTGTCCTATGTGTAAGAAGATATTACAAACGAAGAATGAATTAGAAATAAAAAATAAGGGTAACTGTAAATGCAGTTGTATGCCAGTTGGTTTTAAAATAAGTAAAACAGATAAAAAAATGAATATTGATAAAACCAAGGACACTATCAATCTAGAAACAGATGCGCATAATATTTCTATCAAATTTGGAAATGAGGCTACACACTCGGAAAATGGTGATAAAGAAACTCCGGAAACGATTAAACAAATAATGAAAATTTAGTATTTAAAGAGTAGATTTTACATTAAATCAATTTTATAAATAAATAAATATTTAAATAAATAATTATATAAATAAATATATATAGAAATGTCTGAAGTTGAAAATGATGTTATTGTTGAACTATCAAAGAAGATGATGACAGTTAGTAAAAATGTTAAACTGTTGTACGAGATGATAAAAACTATTGACCAGAAACTTGATGCAAAGGAAAACGAACCAAAAAATAACAATGAAGAGAAGGAAAAGATTGATAAGATCTTTGAAAAGAAAGGGATAGGCAGACCCAGCGGTGATTATGACACGAAGCGTAAAAAATATTGTGATATGTTAAATAAGGGACAAATCAAAAGTCCAAAAGAACAAACATTAGAATACTATAAGATTATTAAGGAAGATGATAAATATGTATATTTCTAAAACATTATCTAAATCACTCTAATAAACAATATGAATTTATTAGAATTATTTAGTGGAACTGGAAGTGTAGGAACCATAGCAAAGTCACTTGGATTTAATGATGCCCGCAAAATGGCGGTCAGGCTGGCCGAAAAGTGGCGGTCAGGCGGTCAGGGTGGCCGAAAAGTGGCGGTCAGGCGGTCAGGCTGGCCGAAAAGTGGCGGTCAGGGTGGCCGAAAAGTGGCGGTCAGGCTGGCCGAAAAGTGGCGGTCAGGGTGGCCGAAAAGTGGCGGTCAGGCGGTCAGGCTGGCCGAAAAGTGGCGGTCAGGGTGGCCGAAAAGTGGCGGTCAGGGTGGCCGAAAAGTGGCGGTCAGGGTGGCCAAGAATGGCGGGCAGGGTGCCCCGAAAATGGTGGGCAGGGTGCCCCGAAAATGGTGGGCAGGGTTTATGACTAGTAAAATAGTCCATAAACCTTACAATAAAAAACATTGTAAGATTTATGATTTGGATTTATGGGGATTTTGGGATTTGGGATTTTGGGAAAATGTATTTTGGGAATTTGGGATTTTGGAAAAATATATTTTGGGAATTTGGGATTTTGGGAAAATATATTTTGGGAATTTGGGATTTTTAAGATGGTCTGGTCTTAAAGACATGCCACCTATCAATAGTAGCATGGAGATGACTGACAAAATGCAACAATGTAGGCGATGTGAAAACACTTATCCACCTGACCTATTTAATGTTAGAGTGCATATTTGTGATTACTGCCGAGAACAAAGTAAAATTGATAGGAAGGAAAAGAAAAAGGAATATAATAAAGTGCGTAATCAGATTGAAATAGAATGTGATATTTGCCAGTGTAAAGTGAGGAAATCTGCAATATCCAAGCATTTGAAAACATTGAAGCATATTGAGAATGAGAATAAAGTAAAAACAACAGTTGAGGAAGAAAAACCTAATGAAATTGAAAATTCAAAACCTCCAGTAGCACCAGAGGTCAAAAAAGAAATGGAGGAAGTGAAGGACAAAGTTTTTCAAATTGTAGGTGAATTACCCTTTCTGGAAAATTATTTCATTTCAGCATATTCCGTGAGGAATTCTGCAATTATTCAAATTATGAAATAATATGATTTAAATTTAACCATAAACTTTACAATAAGAATATTGTAAAATTTATGATTTATATTTCTTGGGAAAAATGATAATTTTGTAAAATAATATTTTTGAAAATTTAGAAAAATATTTTCAAAATTTATGTATCAAATCTTGAGTTGAGGTTCTGTTATGAAATGATGAAAAAATATTATGTGAATTGGTCGGTTGAGGGGATTTTATCCAACTGGGGCCTGGCCTTTGGTAGGTAAACCCCCCCCCCCTAAAAAAAACAAAACAACAACAACAACTGCCTCGTCGAGTTGGCGGCGGCGGCAGCCCTCAAAAGTTCTTCTTCTGCTGGGAAAAGTATTCTAGATCCTTTTGCCACTCTGCAAGCGGATGCAGTGCAAGGCTTTGGCCACTTGCATGACCAAAGTTCTCACAGGCCGTGTCAAAATCAGAAGGTCCCAGCCCAATATATGATGCGTTTGTTGTTTTTTTGAACTCCTGGATTGCTCGATACTGCGAGACAGATGACTTGGGGCGTCGCGCGTCGATAGAGTCCAACTCGCTGGAGGGCGCATGCACACACTGTACAACCAGCCAAGACAACTAGTCAGGTAACCCTGAAAAAGGTGGTTTGGAGCCCGGTTTGGATTTGGATTTGACCCCCTGGGTCTTGTAGAGGCTAAATCGGAGACCCCTTCTGAATCACCACCGGGATCCACACCAACTAAGGGGAAGCTGACTTGGTGCCGTTGCAGGTTTAGGCCCCGTTTTCAAGGGACCAACACTAGCCTGTGACCATATTGACCAGGCAGATGAGCCCAGGCACGCCATGTCGGCGTGGGCAAGAGGTCTTGAACGAGTATGAGATTTAGTTGGTACTTTTGGGCCGTTATGTGCGTGTCATGGAGATTGCGTACTTCTTGAGGGAGAGCCCCGGATCCTGGCAAACCAAGGGCCCTAGGGTCAGGCGTGTTGTTTTTTGTTTTTGTCTCTGGCTTCGGATGGTGTTCCTAGGCCTCCCAGTGGTGTCCTTTTACCCTTCTTTGCCGGAGGGTTCCCCTACAAAAATTGACTAGAGAGAAAAAGTGGGTACCCTTATTCGACTACTGGAGGACCTAGTGTTCACTAAGCCAAAAGGTTGCCTTTTGCCAGGCTTTTGAAGGAGAAGCGGCTGTTTGCCTCGGGCTCCTTGTCGCAGACAGAGTGGGGGCCCGAGTGACGTCGACCCAAGTTGCATGGGTTGCATCCCCTCAGACAAACAGCCGGAAGCTTCCAGAAGGCTTCCGGAATGGAACCGAGTCTTCCAAAGGGCTCCGTTCGAAAGCTTCCATGTTGGCCTGGGGGAGAGTAGAAACTTGGCCAATTTTTGGGCTGAGTGAGAAAATGTTGGCGAGACAGCTTGCTCAGTTTTTTCAATTGCGTGCGGAATTAATCCCCAAGAAATAGTTCTTCAATTCTGCGGCATTCACTTTAAATCTGTCCAATCAGAAGGGTCCTTTGCTGATGCTAACAGAACACGCACCGGACCCTCAATTTTGCTGCTTTTGGGCAGGGGGGAGCACAATAACATTTTTAGCGCATTGTCAGGGTCGTGCGCACCTGTCTAACCCTTCCAGCCCTGCATGTTGAGAAGGGGCGCAAGTGGAGGATGGAAGGTGGAAAGAGCTGAGCACCGTGAGAAAACAAACATGATGTTTGGACTAGTGGTTTGGGATTTGAACCCTTGGATGGTGTAGAGGGTAAATGGGAGCCCTCCTCTTAACCATCAAATAACCGATTCAAACCATCAATTGAAGGGAAACTGATACAGGGTGTTGCGCTTTCTATTGCTTGTCATCTTTTGCGCCACAACGAGCCGGCTTGCAACACCTGAGCTTAACGAGCAAAGTCACTACAACCGTGTCCGCTCCACTTGCCAAGACACAGTCCAGGACAAGCCTAAGCGAGGTCACACGCAAAGTCACCTTCATTGCGCTTTGGGAACGAAAGCGTTTGTGCCATGCTTCGACTTTGGGCAGAGCCATGACATCCACGAGAGCCAGACACAGGGGCAAGAGCAACGAGCTGAGTAAAAAGAACGGGTATTGCAATATATGGGCCCTATCTTTTTTGTAAGTCCATCCCCTGGTGACCCAGTTGGAATATTTCCCCCGAATGCGTAGTGCTGCGTCCGCAAGCGTTTGCGAGTGGCGAAAGTTTGCGAGCCGTCGGGGAAGGCTGCGAGCCGTGTGAATTGCATGACTTGCAGAATGTGGTTTTCGTTGCGCTTTTACGTGAATCGCAACTTTTTTCGTGTTGTTCCTTTGCACAGCAGTGTTTTGGAGGGTTGCGCGGCTGTGTCGCCGCGCCATCGTGATTTGAGTTTATGGGTGGTCGTTTTGGGGTGATTTGCCAGGCGCGTGCAAGCGCTCGCGTCGTCTCGTTTTGGCAAAACTACAAGTGGTCAAATCTGTCGAAATTCTCGTGGTGCGACAGTCCCGTGCAAATTTTGGATGGACGGCAAAAACGTGTCAAAGTTGATTTTCGTGGCAGGTGCAGTACTTGGGACATTCTTCAAAGTTGGTGGCAAGCTCACTTTGTCACCTTCGAGTGCTGTAGTCAAATTTTGTGGCAGGCGCAGCACTCTTGGTGGTCGCGTGTTGAATTCCGTGGCAGGCGCAGCACGTTGGAGCATGATTTCGCAGCACGTTGGAGGGTCGCGTGCAGATTTCGTGGCAAGCGCAAGTGCAGCGCTTTGGAGAGCCGATTTCGTGCCAGGCGCGGAATCTGTGACGGGCGGAGCTGCGTTCTGGACAGTGGCCTTGCTCTGGAGCTCCTTGGCCATGGCCTTGATCCCGAGCAGTCGTTGCTGGCCATGGCACGCGTGCAGCTACGCCAAGCTAGCGCTAGCCTATAATTGCAAGCAAAACGAGGCGCTGTCGCACACAGCTGCGAGTGCGCGCGCACGCGCGCAATGCGCGTTGCGGGTGCCGGCGGACCACCTTCTTGATGCAGGATACTTTCAAGAGCTTTAACAGCTAAAACACAAACTAAAACCGTATGCGCGCCGATTCTGGCACGACAGTTATGCGCTAGTTTTGGATACCCGGCGGGTGCAACGCAGGGAGCGCGCTTTTCTTCGTCGCAATCGCGCTATTCGTAACAAACGCAACACTTTTGATCCTTTTTCTCCAGTTTTGGAGTTGGCGCGCAGACTTCGTGGCACGCGCGTGCTTTGGATATTGGTGAGCAGAATTCGTGGCAGGCGCAGAACTCCAAGATCTTGGGGGTGTCCTTGGGTGTCTCTGAGTGACGTCTTTGAAGGGATGTGTTTGGGGGTGACTTTGGGGATGTCTCTGTTTTGGGGGGTGTTGCAAATGTCCTCGCAGTTGTGAGAATGGGGATGTCTTTGGAATGCGTTTCAAGTGGATGTCTTTGAAGGGATTTCTTTGCTCGTATTTCTGCTCTCAGGTTTGTGGCCTTCCAGGTCCTAAGTCAGGGTGGCGCATTGAAGAGAGCAGTGCAGAAATGGCTGCTAAATAGCCTTAGGAGGCTTGGTGTACACGCCCTGTGGCTGTTCTGGGTGAAAGGGCTTTACTTTTTCGTTGTTTTAATTGCCACGGCTTCCACGTTTTGAATTTGCTGTCCTGGAGCTGGCTGTCAAGCAGGGACATTTCAACCGACAAAGATGCTTGCAGTTGTGCTTGTAGGGTTGTTGTTTCTGTTTCAAAAACAGGTTTGTCCCGTGTTGACACCAGCGCGAGTCTTGCAAACAAGTTGAAGGCGGGCCAGACTGCGCCCTCTGCGCAATACAAAAAACTCAAGCAGATGTAGAGAATGCCAAATAATGCCGTATTGTTCAAGGTTTGCGTAGCAACTGCTCCTGCTCCTGCTCGTGCCTGCAGGCCCAAAAATGTCTTGGCGTGACGGGACAGCAACCTGCTTCTCCGAGCGCCTTCTCAGTCTTGGCTTGGCTCGGCATTAGCTGCGATGTTGCCAGGCGCGCGAACTGCGGCCCCAAGGATCCCCAAGCCGTTGTTGATGTCACGAGGGGAAGCCGCGGCTTATACTGGAACTGCTTGAGGGCTTTGTGTATGGTGTTGTTTTTGGTTTGGCTTGGAGGGCTGGTTTAGGGTAGTGCGGCGTCTGACGGGCGCCAGGGGCGATCGCCAAGGATCGCAGTGCTAAATTCGACGCTAAGAGCTTCTGCTGCGTAAGCGCGGCGTGTGTAAAGGGCAAGGCTGGTTCTCCCCGCGCGCGCGTTTTCCGCCGGCGGCTGACGCGTGGAAACGCGTTGAGGCGCTTTCCGTGACATAGCTCGCTGACCGTTTCGTTGCTTCAGGCTCCGGCGCTGGATAAAGGCGAAGGTCCGGGTGTCGGTGCTCGATGCCAAGGCGCTTGGGCATTGCCTGTTTGGCACGCAACTGTTTGGTCTTTTGATTTTGCGCTTCTTCGTTTGCGTGAGTGATTGCGCGTCCTTTTGCTTACCTGCCCTCTTCTTCCTGCCTGGCTGGCTTGAAAGTTTTCTTTCTTGCTTGGTTGCTTGCTTAGTTGCTTGCTTGCTTGCTTGCTTGCTTGCTTGCTTGCTTGCTTGCTTGCTTGCTTGCTTGCTTGCTTGCTTGCTTGCTTGCTTGCTTGCTTGCTTGCTTGCTTGCTTGCTTGCTTGCTTGCTTGCTTGCTTGCTTGCTTGCTTGCTGTCTATCTGGCCTGTCACCTCTTGCTTGCCTGCTTGTTGGTAGCTTGCCTGGCTGGCTGGCTTGCTTGCCTGAATGCTTGTTTGTTATTTGTCCCTTCGATTGTTTGTTTGTGGTTTGCGTGCTTGCTAGTCTTTTGTTTGGTGCGTTTGTGTGATCGAAACCGCAATCCTGTTTCTTTGTTTTGCGAGTTCCGGGCAGACCCGGGAAATTGCATTCGGCTAGGGGCTGGTGTGTGTTCGACACCCATGGTTTGCGTAGGCTTTGCTGTTACTTCTTCTTGAAGAACCCATTGAGTCCATGTCATTTGGCATGAAGCGCAGGTTGCTTTTCGTTTGTTGTGTTTGCTTAGCCTGCAGGGCATCCCGCCGTGGAACCAAAATCCGCGCGGCGTGCTTGAGACCCCCCATGCGTCAGCCCACCAACATGTCGCCCGCATCACTGCCGTTGCTGCCGCGAGGACTTTGCGCAGTGTTCAGGAAAATCTGGCTACGCAGTCGATCGTGGTCAAATTCAAGCGGCAACATTTCCAAATCGCTGGTTGCCTCTCTTGAATTTGAGACACCTCCTAGCAGTTTTCGGCAAAAACAAGAACACAAGGAAAGGTCGCGTTGAGAGCTGTTTAACAATCATCAAGTCGAAACATCCCGAAGTTGTTTGGGAAAGATTGGGTTTGCGCAATATCCATTGCCATGGGCCGCCGTTTTATGGAGAACCCGCCCTCAAGAATTGGTTGGGGGTCATGAGGATGCTCATGGAAATGTTGCGCAGCAATAGATTAAGAAAAACACATATGGGCGTGTGTACGTTTCTAGGGGACGGCATCGGTTTTCCTTTTGGCTTGCTTTAAAACTACCAAGCAAGGGGCGCCAACTTGAAAACAAAGTGCGAGTAGGATGCGCCAGGCCGTTCTAGAAGAGTCGGACTGGCAGCGCTGCGCCGTGCTGGGGTACTGCAAGTCCGTGCACGTGCGCGGCTAAGAGGTGTCAAACAGTACGTAGGGCACCACTCAACCCCTGAGTTCATGGACTTTAAACTTCTTGGGTTTGGACCATTTTAGTGGCAAGCACACAGATGGACTCTTTGTTGCCCATCCGCTCAGGAATTGAGACCATCTTGGTAGAGCCATTTCGGCACTGCTCAATTGCAACCCATGATTTGTGCTCCAAATAGAACTGACAAGGGCACCTTCTTGTGCGTATGAGAGAGTTCCGAAGCAAAACAAATATATCGCCTTCCCGATGAGGGTGGTGAACTGATGTGAACGTGAAGAGGTACACGGGTAGACGTAAGTCGCATCGGCTTGTCCCAAGGTCCCAGCCCTGCCATTCATATATCAGCTTTTTCAGTCACGGTGTGCGCAAGGTTCCAGGCATAGTGGCATGAGCTTTGGCTGGGGGGTTCGCAGTTCCTAGTGGTTTGACAAGAGCTTTCAGGCACAGGTGCTGACATTTATGAGAAGCCCCCCATCTCATTTTGAAACACCATCTCAACTTCTTCCAATTGGAAGCAGAAGGCCGACATGTCGCCAACAGTTCAGTACCCCGACCAAAATCCACGGATAGATTGGTCTCTAGACCTGTCAAAAAAGAAAACAGAAATACACATCTTGCTGGTGCTCATCAGGGATTCAGAAATGAAAAGACAAGAAAAAATCAATCCCTTGTGGCTTCCTTGAAGGGAGCCCCAACCGGTTCATTCCTCTCTGGCGCACCAGACATCGGGACCGAGGTTGCGGATCCGGACCATGAGTCCTGGAGCGACTTCCGCGCTGCGACCTCGGCAGGTGAGTTGCGACAGGCCAGAGACTCGTTCTGTCATTTTGACAGCTTCTGGGGTTGATCAAAGTCAGAACATGGGGTTGTTTCCTTTTAAGTTAGGGGGTGACTTTGACCATGGTAAAATCATGGGGCCAGTGTTCCCCTTTCTTTGGGGCAGGGTTCCACTTCAAAGTCAACCAACCACACAAAGGGTTGATGGTTAGATATAATATATATATATATATATATACATATATATATATATATATATATTCAACTCGAGTTAGATGTGGAGGATTTGACGGATTAGTATGTCTTAATGAACCAGATCTGATCATTTTGATGGATATAATCGCGCTGGAACGTTTTTTTCTTTGTGATTGGAGAAACTTCTGAGGTTGGACAGTTGTTTTTGTCTTTGCTCTAATCTTGGAGCAACGGAAACCTCATTCAGGTACTTGTTATGCCTCTCATGCTTGTTGGAGGCAGTTTGAATGATTGGCGCGTCAGATCCTTGGTCACCAACAATGTCTCCCTATCCTGTTTTTGGTAGCGTGGCACTGAGCATAAGTTGCACTTGACATTAGGCCAGCCAGTCAATGGAGCCATGCAGTTGCTGAACCCTTTGTTAAGCTTCAATCTTGCTCAGCATTTTGAACACCACTGCAGGATTGACAGCTCCTGTGCAAGACATCATCGGATCAAGGAGACACATGTCCAAACTATCTCGGTTTCTTTTTGAGCCGAGATACTGTGGATGGAGGAAATCCTGCACCACTTTGAAACCATTGGAAACCATTGTTTTTGGGCATTTACAGGGGAATCGAACCAATCCAGGGTGCCCCTTAGGCGGTGCGAAATGGATTTAGTCCATCTACAGCGAGCCTCGGAACTCGGAACTCATCTCCAAGTCCTTCAAACCCTTTGGAGAAGGCATTGGATTCTTGACGGGGTCCAACGCATACTTGTTCTCCTTCTTTTTGCCAACTACTGGGTTTTCCATTAAACCACCAAAAGTTAAACTTTTAGCAGGGGAGCAGACAGCAACCGAGTTTTGTTTGCCTGTCGAACAAGAGAAGGCGACCTGAGGCCCTGATGAACACATGTTCTGTCGGCATTTTTCCCTTCGATGCTGACTCCGGTTCTCTGGTTCTCCGGTTCATGGGAAAGGCGCGGCCGTGCCACCGAGGCGATGCCGTGCGAGGCGCCTTGGGACACTTCGGCACGAGACGCTCACTTCCAGATGGCCAAGGAGAGTGACTTCGATGTGACTCTTGGGCGTCCCTTCTGACTTCTTGACCATTTTTTCTTGCTCAGTATAAACTGACCGAGACCATGATTTTTTGGGAATGAGCTTTGGGTTTCCTGAATACAGGAAACCAACTCGGGGATATTGTGTATTGCGGGTTTCCATGTCTCATTCCCCCGGCGAGTTGTTTCACCTCTCCATTGGTCAAACTCGGCCAATGGCCGAAGCCGTCGACTCGCTCGCGGCGCTTGCTGCGCTGACGCCAGGACGTGCTGATCTCGGGGGTCCGGGGCTTCTTCCTGGCGAAGCCGGACCTCGAGGCGAGGAGATTGGGGGGATACACGCGAGCATCGATTCGAATCAGCCCACTTGGCTGTGGGTCAAATCCAGTGGGATCCCATTTTGGGGTAGGTGCAGCACCCATTTTAGTCTATTTTGGTGGGGAGTGGGATGTTCACGGGGGGTACGGGCTGTTGACCCTTGGCCACTTGATTCATACTGCACCGTTCAGAAACCCAACGGAATGATTCGAGTCCCCAGGTAAGTGCCGACAAACAATGGTTGCAACCATGGTTTCAAAGCGGCGCGACATATATGTGCTCCATCCACGGTATGTTGGGCACTGGAATGTGGAAGCCGCGGATTGTGATTGGCGTGCTTGGTCTGTTCAAGCTCGCTGGTTTGAATGCCGATATCTGCAAGACTGCTTGAAAATTTCAGAAATGCCTACAGAGGCGCTCTTCAGCGACGGCATGGCCAAGAGACCTCTGTGAATGAAGGAGTCTCCATCCCCTTCTTGCAGTTGTGGACTGACAAGGGTCTGACAAGTGGTCCAGACATAGAGTTCACGTTTGATTGCTGTTCCGGCCCTACCTTCCCACCAAGAAACATGGAACCTGACTCTTGGGGCCCGGTCCCTTTGAAACGAAAACCGTCTTCCAGGACCCCCCTGTCAGGTTCCATGAAACTGTGTGCGTAATTGGTGGCAGGGTAACTTGTTGAGGGTTTGACACTCGCCTGTTCTCGCGAAACCTCTAGCTTCTTGCCCGCTATTTTTTTGTTCACTTGTCTGTCAGGGCCTGCCATGCTGCGTCACAAGCGGCCAAACGTCGGTGGACCTCATTTTTAGTGCCACACGACTCATTTTCTTCCCCAAAAGTCTAGTTTCTAACCCGGAGATTGCCACTGCCCCTTGTCATCTAAGACGTGACGCAGTTTTCGACGCACTGTCAAGATGCCTCATGAACCTTCCTCGAAATCGATTTCGCCTTTTTTCCCTTCAGAGGCCTGCCGTGTCATTCCTTCCTTCTAAGCTGTTCAAGGCCCAAAGTTTTGCAGTCCACCTTTCATTCTCACGTGGGTGTGTCTTTTTTTGTGGTGCTCCCTTTTTTGGGCGATGTTAAGGGGAAACCAAAAGGAGAAACCAACATTTCCCCCCCCCCTCCCAACACAAAAAAAGGCAAAAACAAACAAACCCAAAACGGAGCCACCCACGCGTCAGGCGTTCGCAGCCGAATGTGTGGTTCTGAGTTTTGGCCCCCCTTGGGCGCCTTGAGCAGGTCATGGAGCTGGACGGACACTTCACGGAGGACCTTGAAACGGACAACGAGCGCTTTGCGGGGGGAGATTTGGTGGAGGAAAAGCGAGTCGCAGCGTTCCAACGCGCTTTCTTTTCTTTTTTGTTTTTGCCTTTTTGGTTTCTATTCCCGGAAAGGCATCAAAACGCAGGTCAGGCGACTGGTTCGGGAGTGACAGCAAGAGAAGGGCCAGGTTCTTGTGAGTGTCCATGAGTGTCCTCTTGACGGGTTTGTGGGGGAAGCGCAGGGAACTGTTGAAAGGTCAAAGGGTTCTGAAGGCAGGCTGGCCCTAGCTTGAAGGCAGGCCCTTTCAGCGTCCGCGAAAATGGGTTTCGCTAGGCCTGAGAGGCCAGAGCTGTTCTGTTGTCTTTGACAAGGGGGCTGTGAAAACCACGAATTTGGCTTGAGGGCGCCAAACGTTTTCGAGGTTGTTATTTACGATTGAAGTATGGCTGTTCCACAACGCGGAGTGTGCGTCTGTGCGTTTGCGTGTCCGTGTGCGTTTGCGTCTTCAGCTGCGCGAGTGCGTGTGCATGTGCGTGTGCTTGGCTTGTGTGTGTGTGCGTGTGTGTTTGCTTGATTGCTTGCTTGCTTGCTTGCTTGCCTGTCTTATTTGATTGCTTGCTTGCCTGCCTGCTTGCACGCTTGTTTGCTTGCTTGTGTTTGTGCGTCTGTGTGTTTGTTCTGTGCGCCTGTGTGTTTGTGTTTGTTTGTCCGGGAGGAGAATGCCTTGTGCCCAGAGCTGGACGTGGGGGCCTGCTATCGGAACTGGGACTACGGTGCCCTCCACCAGGCGCGGAAGCCGGGCTTCTGCTTGCATCGCTTCTGGGTATTTCTCGTGGGTGTTTGGTCGCCTTATCTTCCACTTGCTCAAAAATATGTTTAAAAAATATGGGATATTTCTCGTAAATATTTCTGGTGGGTGTTTAAACATTTTGTTGTAATTCTCCCTTGTTGGTCTCTGGGAGCGGTGCTCTCGTGTGCTGTATTCGCTCCAAATCACGGGAAAGGATGTAGTGAACACCCAAGAACCACAGCCCCACACGTCATACAGAACTAGCTTTCTCTAGAAACAGGCGTGCGTCGGCAAAAGCTTCCGAATTCACAGTCACAATTGATCACTGAGCAAGATGGCTGAAGCGCATGAGACGACAGTGATTTGCATTGTCGATTTCAGTGTCGGGCGCCTTCTGCACGAGCACTCAGCTAAGAGTGCAGAGGGGAAGCAGCCATGCTTCCCCAATCTTTCACGCCGCATTTCCTGTGGCTTTTCCCTGCACCATATCTCATACCAGTGATGGCCGGCGGATTCTGTAGAGTCAGGTGAGCAAGATGTTACACATCAACTTTTCTCGTCAGGGCTTCTGGGCAGAAAGCTTTTAAGTTCCGAGGCAGTTGCTTGTTTTGCCACTGCCTGTTGGTTAGGATGCGAGTTATCTCATCCTCTCCCTGGTTATTCTGGTTGCCGAACTTCCCTTTTTGCGGCCCTTCAAGGGACACCGGAGGGCGCCGCTTGAAGCAGCTTTCCGCTCTGCCCAAACTAAGTGGCAACATCCCGTTCATCGTCTTTACTGTCTCGGCCCAGGAAACCCAAGGAAGCACGAGGCGGCCAAATTTCAAGGATTTTCCTTTGGTTCCCTTGTTCAACAACTCCTGGTTTCCTTTGGTTCCCTTGTTCACACCTGGGTATGGGCCAAAACAAAACCACCCGTTTTCCGCAGGTCCTAGTCTTTGGTTCCATTTCCCAGGGCTTGCGCCATTTTCGGCACGCATCTTTGGACCCACAGCCACCTCCTTTCGGGGATCCGGACACGCCCAACGCCAGCGGACACCGCGTCGGTGTCTCTCGTCTGCCAGGAGGATCTGCAAGCCAGCGCCCTGCGCTCGGCGCGGCGGGTGCTGACCCTCCACGCCGCGTGCCCGGGGACTTGGATCCCAAGCGAAGAAGTGGGCTGTGGGCCAAAAAGATGTACCTGGAGTCTCCTTCTGACCCTTGAAAAATGGGGTCAAGGACCCCAATTTTTTTTGGGGTCATTGCCATTTTTCAAGGGTCAGAAGGAGACTCTAGGTACCCAAAATGGACCCCTGGTAAATGGAAACATGGACGGTTTCACCTGCGGTCCAATTCCTGGTGGTTTAATTTTCACCCACACCCAAGTGAACAAATGCTCAAAACCTACTGCACCATCTCCCCCAGCAGTGCCCTTCTTAACCCTTTTTTTGGTTGGGAGGGTTCCCCTACTAAAATCGACTACAGCAAAAAGTTGGTACCCTTATTCTAACCTCTCTACGGGAGGACCTGGAAATGCTCAAAACCTACCTTTTGCTTTTCCTTGAGGTCGGGGAGGTCAGGGTCGGGGAGGTCATGGACCCTTTCATGGATGACATCTGGTTTTTGCCATTCTACTGGCACTCTTACAGACCCGAGGGACTGGGAGGGCCTCCAATCCCACCTTGCCATTGCTTCACCAGGCGCGCCGCCGGAGGAGGCGTCGTCCCTCACCCTTCGATTGAACGCGCGGAAGCCAAGCTGCAAAGCCCATTGGGAAGCACGGACTTGAGGGAACCAACCGGCCTTGGCTGTCAGCTCAAGCACGGCAACACCCTTTGGAGGTAAAGTCGTGGAAAGCATATGTTACACACACACACTATCTATTCTACTGGCCGAGCAAGGCAACAAGCGCGGGCCACGTGTTAGGAATGCCCAAGGATGAACTACTACCACCTGCAGAGTTTGACTTTTTTGGGCTGCATATCGCGCATGTCTTTCGGCAAGTGTGTGTTTGAGGCGGGTCCCAGAGGAGCCCTCTATTTAACACGTCAAACAAGTCTAGGTCTCCCTGTAGTGCCCGTTTGCCCTTTTTTGGGGGCTACAGAAAAAAAGGGTGCCCTTATTCTAACCTCTCTACTGGAGGACCTAGATGTTCTTTCATGATGTTTGATTCAAGGCGGTTTGTACTTCATGACTCCCCATAACATTTCGGGCTCGGCCAGTTGCTTGCCGGCCGCGTCTGCAGTTTGTTGGCTTTGTCATGCTGCGGCTTCATGCCAAGTAGATGCATGGATACAGCTTGTTCGGAGAGCCATGTCCAGATCTTTGTTGCCTTTGCTGCATCTTTGATCTCAAAAGTTCCTTGCAATTCCGCAAAATCATCGACAGCCTCCCAGACATCCTCCTAGTTTCTGCGTGCCTCGGTGGGAGCCATCTGTTGCATCGCCGACGTCTTCAAAAAAAAACAATAACATTCTTTCGGAGACTCGGCGACTCGGAGGCCGAGAGCTACGCCTACCTCACGGGGCTTCTGGCGAATATGGCGCGCTCGCCAAGAGGGGAGGGCGGGATGAGCGGCTTTTGGAAGGAGACCGAAACCAGGGGTTTCTGTAGCTGCGCGATGCAAGTGCGGGGGGAAAATATATGCACAGCCGTCCTTTTTAGGAGAGTTCTTTCCAGAGATGTGTTTTCTTCTTTACCAGGGCCATCCATTCTTCCAAGTTGTTCTCCGATCCTTTTGATTGGTTTGTTAGAATTAGATGGGTTCCACTGGTTGGTTGAGGAACGCCCATCTATTTGTCCACAAGGTCACATAGAAACCACCCCGGCTCGCCTCACTCTGCAGTTTTTAGTCTTGCGGGACGAAAGCCGGTTGCAAGGGACCCACATGCGCACTGGTTGGTGACGGTTTCCTTGTTTGGCGCTTGAAGCCTTGTTCAGAAACCAAGATGGCGGGTGCGCTTTTCAAAAAACTCATATGATTGATTTATCATCATATTGGTATCTAGATTGGTCGTTTTGCTCAGGCAGTGCCCGCTTCGCTTGTTTGGCCGGTGCTGTCCCCTCGGTTACAGGGAGCCAGCACCATCCTGCCATTGAATCAGTGCTCAGCAGCGCTCCAACAACGGAACATTCCCCCGAAAAGATCTGTCCTGTTCCTTTTGCTTCCCTTCAACACCTGAAAAGGGTAGCGAGACTCAAAGAACGAGCCACACCATCTTACCCAATTGTTTTAGTTGGTCAGTTTCCTGCAGAGCATCCAGCAAGCTTGGCTGGTTCATTAAAGTTGCGTGCTCCTTGCGAGGCTTTGCCTTTGAGGGTATTGAGTGGAGGCCAAGTGAGCAAAGTTTGCGTATTCCTTGTGAGCCTTTTCCTTTGAAGTTCTATTCAAAATCGGCAAAGGGCTCTGAGCCGAGCCCAAAAAGGAACGAGCCACACCCATCTTACCCAATTGTTTCAGTTGGTCAGTTTCCTGCAGAACATCCAGTAGGGTATTGAGCCGAAATGAGCGAGCCACCCATGAGAGATGTCAGGACTCCCTGTACTTCATGTGGTCCGCGGTGCTCGTTGACGCCTGCAAGCCGGCGGGTCGCAAGCCCACCACCCAGGAGGCAGAGTCGAGGGCCCCAGAGGCGGTCTCTGGGGTTGGCTGGGCAAAAATCGGATGAAACAAAGTGGCTTAACTTCCATTTGCTGAAATGTGTTCTTTTCATGTTCCCCGAATGGTTTCCAAGGGAATCGATTTCACTACACAAATTGGATGAAACCAATTCATTTCAGCATGGCAAATGAATATGCCTGGCAAATTTATGGAGTGGCAAACCGGTTAACATTGATTTGCTTGACATGAATATTTTTCAAGTTTTCCCCTGGTGGTTTTGAAGGGAATCGATTTCACTACTGGATATATTTTCTCATTTTCTAGGGGGCTTAATCAAAGCAAGTGGAAGGTTTAGACGTGCCGCTATCGACAAACCCCAGATCCTCGAAGAGAGAAGCCGATTCCGAGAGGGGAAGTACTGCATCACAAATTTGCCGGGGCGGGGGGTTCAGGTTGAAGGCACCCTTGCCAGCACCAGCCCAAGCAACGGCTTTTTCCCATATATCCAAAATCCCGGGTACTCGCACTGTTCAAAAAACAGTGGGGGGGGGTGGGGTGCCGGTGGGGGATAGGGATCACTTGCGTCAGTTTTTTTTTACCCAGATGAATAGAGGGGGCGCACACACCTGACAGTAGGACACTACCTCACCGCCTTTTGCAAGAAAAAAGGTGTCTTTGTAGTTTTCTGGTCCATGTGGGGGTGTCTTTGTGAGGCGCGGTACCCCTTGTTTAGTGGTTTGGCCGATACCTCTTCCTTTTTTGTTTGGGGGCGGGCGGTTCAATGACATGTAAAGGGAGGTCCCCGTTTGGATCTCAAAACAAGCCAAGGATTGAACACTTGGCTCACTCCCTGAGTTCCTGGACTTTAAACTTTTTGGGAAGACCATTTTGGTGGTAAACAGAAAGTTTGGATTTTTTTTTGGCCCATCAACTCAGGTATTAAAAGGATTCGGGACGCAAACAAGTGTTGCCCAAAATGCAGCGCGCATATGCGCGCGCCATGCTTCTGCATGGCATTTCTTGAAGTTGGGGATTGCAGCTCGCTGGAGCTCGCTGGGGTCCTAAACCAAACAATCCGCAGGCCGTGTGAGATGGGACGGCGGCCAAGGCGCTATGTGGCGCTGTGGAAGCAGTACCTCAGCGGCCCCAGCATCCTGGGTCGCGCCTCCGAACTGTCCAGGCCAGATCTTCGATGGGATCTCTCTCTCTCCTCTTGTCTGGGGAGAACCTCCCAAACTGGGAGAGTTGTCTTGGGTTTGAGGCGGTGTGTGTTTTTGAGAGAACCCCAAACTGCGTGGCCGCGCTGTGGGCGAGTCTACGCTATGTCAGAACCCTGACTAGAACGGAAGAAACCGTTTCCATTACCCTTTCAAAGGGAACCAAAAACAAGCCATGCAAGCGTTTCGTGGGTTGCTCCAGGAGAGAACCCCACATCGGGAATCGGGAACCCCCTTCTGGGCTGGTTAAGTTGCAATGGTAAAACCATAGGCAAGACTTCCCCAGCATATGCCACAGTCAAAAGACCCTTTTACCTGAGTAAATGAGGGATGCTCATCAACGGCTAAGATCCGCCAAGTAGTAACTTCGGATCAGAAAGAAGGGAATCATGCCCATACCCCACACAAGGCCTTCACCATGGTCTGAAGCAACAACATGTCAATTAGCTTCTCTTTTTTGTATGAAAGCTGGCAAACCACCCCCCCAAAAAAACAACAACAACAACAACAACAACAACAACAACAACAACAACAACAACAACAACAACAACAACAACAACAACAACGACAACAACGACAACAACGACAACAACAACAACAACAACAACAACAACAACAACAACAACAACAACAACAACAACAACAACAACAACAACAACAACAACAACAACAACAACAACAACAACAACAACAACAACAACAACAACAACAACAACAACAACAACAACAACAACAACAACAACAACAACAACAACAACAACAACAACAACAACAACAACAACAACAACAACAACAACAACAACAACAACAACAACAACAACAACAACAACAACAACAACAACAACAACAACAACAACAACAACAACAACAACAACAACAACAACAACAACAACTGCGAAATTGGATCTGTGCACAACAACTGCCAAAATCTCGCACCCGTGGATAACTGGGATCACTGGATTCAAATCCACCGACCGGATGACACAAATTCCCGCGAACTCCGCAAGCCAGCGCGAGCCTTTTCTCTTCCCCAGAATTAGCTCCCCTTTTTGTTTTTGTTTTTGCTTTTTTGGGGTCCCTTTGTTTCCACGAACTAGGCAAACAAGGTCAATTTTTTTCTCAGCGGAGGCTGGAGGATGAGCTGCTCTGGGGCTTCTGCCAGCGCCTGCGCCGCCTCGCAGAAGAGGAGATCTATTCGTCGATGGTTCCGGCGACGGGGTCGGGGGGTTCGGTTTGAGGAGGCGCCTCTGGGGATGGGAGGCGGCTCCTTGGGCTAGTGAGTGTACCGCGTTCGGAGGGAGGTGCCTTGATGGCTTTTCTACAACGGATCTTTGGACTTTGAACACAGGTCCGGATTTTCCGTATTGGACCGACAAACAGTGATTCTCACTTTTTGGAGAGGGGGTCGTTACCGCCAGCAATGAAAGCGGAAACCAAAACCTTCAACAAGGCAGTTCGAAGGTAAGATGCAGGCGCAGACCGGGCTGCAATGGCATCTTCACATAGTCAAATGTTCACGTGTTCGTCCTTCCGAAGTGAGAACTGCCCTCCAGGAAGTACAAAGCAAAGCGTGGCACTCGCAACGTCGACCTCTCAATGACCCCCCGCCGAGCTCACTTCTCCCTGGATTTGAACTTCGCCCTGAGTTGTGCTGCCATGTTTTTCCGGGGACCCCTGAAAAAACGCGTGGCTTCCTGGTGTCAACTGAAAAGCCCAGCTGAACACCCCTGGTTTCGACTCAGCGAGAGCACCTTGCCAGGAGCTGGCTTTTGAGGAGCAGGTTGGGTGCTGCGGGAAAAACGGCACGGGGCCCAAGCGGGGTCCTTGCTTGGATCGATATATATATATATATATATACATATATATATATATATATATATACATATATATATATACATACACTTTGGTGCATTTTGCCAAGGGATGTTAGGACTTGATTTTTGTTTTTGCCAACTAATGGGTTTTCCGTATTAAAGCCACTAAAAGTTAAACTTTTAGCAGGGGAGCAGAAAGCAACCGAGTATATATATATATATATTATTAGCATGTGAGCAAAAACACATACATAGATAGGTGAGCCTAGACTGATTAGACTCTATCTGACTAGCTTAGATTTGTTTGGATGAGATAAATAGTGTGATAGATATAGGTAAACTTAGATCTGATTAGATTCAACAAATTAGACAGACAGCTGGACAGACAGACAGGCAGACAGGCAGGCAGGCAGGCAGGCAGGCAGGCAGATAGATTGGATAGATAGATGGTTAGGCAGGTGGGCGGATGGGTGGGTGGGAGGGTGGGTAGATAGATAGATAGATGGATGGATGGATAGATGGACAGATAGACAGATAGATAGATGGATAGACGGATAGATAGACAAGATATACAGATTAGACTATGTTATATTAGATTATATATACGACATATAGATATATTCAACATGTAACAAACATCATACGCAGGTGGGCAGGTAGATGGATAGATCGATAAAACTTAGACACTATAGATTAGATAAGTGGATGGATGGATGGATGGATGGATGGATGGATGGATGGATGGATGGATGGATGGATGGATGGATGGATGGATGGATGGATGGATGGATGGATGGATGGATGGATGGATGGATGGATGGATGGATGGATGGATGGATGGATGAATAGACGGACGGACGAACGGATGGATGGATGAGGAACCAAAATCATCAGGGTATTGCTATTGGGTGCTCCTCCCCGCTCGGTTTCTGGTGTTGTTGCCGGCTATTCAGTCATCTCATGGCTACCCTTGCTGTGGGTGATGACGCTGCCACCAAAGCCTGGCTTCATGACCTACCATGTTCTTGGGGGTGCAAGAGAAAGGGTTGATCCTGAAAGACAACTCTTTTTTGGGCATCCACACTTTTTTGTCCTTTGCCGCCCCATGTCTGAGTATAAAATACCTGCTAAGCGTGTAAATATCAGCTTTCAGGACCGGTGTGTCGCTAAAAGAGGGTCTGAATTTGAGTGGGAGACCCTTTGTTGGGCATGAAGATGTGCACCCACCCTTTGCGGATTCCCCATTGATGTTCAATGGCAATGTGGCATGGTCCGGCATTTGGAACGGTGTTCCCCATGAGTTTCTCAGCCAACCTGAATTCAAAGCCATGCAAATGTCCATGGTTTCCAGATTCAAAACCCTTTCGGCTTTTCTTTCCGTTCCACTTTGCATCCCTTGCATGTTCACCTCATTTTCCCTACCTAAAAACGGTTACCCTCCCTTCCACGTTGCCATAGCATCTGACAGGACCCGGTCCCTTCAAGTTCCGTTTTGTTTTTGTTTCCAGGTACGCCACCAGCGCCATGTTGGGAGGAAGGGCAACCTTCCCAACAGGGCACCTCCTCCAGGTATCTGGAAGAAAGGAATTTGCGGAACTTGAAGGGGACCGGGAATCTGTCAAAAGCAGGTCGGGGTTTCTCCAACCTTCTGTGATACTTATGGGACTCCCCTCTTTATGGCAGGTTAGTCTTCGGGATTTTTTTTTGTTGTTGTGTGGATTCCATTTCAAGCACGGCCCTAGTCAGACGCCCAACGGTGGGAGACGCACGCTGGAGGCGAAGAGCTGCGCTTCTGCACTGCCGGCAGCCACTCCGGGCGCAGCGGGAGCGGGCTGCGGGGCCTTGGGGGCTGGCGGGCCTTGGCGGGGGCTTTTTTTTTTATGGCCATCGGTGCGGTGTTCCTTTTTTTTTTGAGCCCCGATTCAGAACTGCCAAAGGGCCAGAGGGCGTAAAACAAAGACTCACTTCCTGAGTTCATGAACTTTAAGCTTTTGGGAAGACCATTTTAGAAAAACAAATGTAAAGTTTGGACTTTTTTGGGCCATCCAGTGAGAAGAATGGGATTTCAAGATAGACGGCGAAGGTTCCCTCGGATAAGACTGCCCGGCTGAGTGGGGCCTGGCCTGGAGATGCTTAGTTTCTTTTTTTTCTTGGGGGGGATGGTTGCCAAGGAGAGGGGGTCCGGGGGGGGGGTTGGTGAGTTGGTGGTTGCCAAGGAGAGACCTGCTTGCCCTGAGAGGGTCACAGCAGTTCAGCAGTTTCTGGCCTTGAGCATCATTTTGGCTGGCTGATTTGGAGCGTCCGTGTTTGCGGCATGAACTTGTTGTGCTAAAGATCATAATTCCTAGGCCCCGTGCCTTATGGATTCACAACTCTATATTGCTCATCTACTGTAGAACCGGGAACGACCTTGAATACACTCACCAGGTTAGTTTGGTGAATACTTATTCTATTGGACACCGTGTTTTGACGGTTTCTGGTTGTCATTGTCAGAAAATGGGTTGCCGGCCATGTCTTTCTAGCTCGCAAAACACGAGGCCTTTTTTTTCTCCGCTGGCTCCCTACGTTTGTTCCCCCTCTTGGTGAACGCATCACCTTTAAAGAGCGGCCAAAAGAAAAGGGGAGCTGGTGGGGAACGGGGCCGCTTGCCTGGGCGGATGTTTGAAGGACGGAGCCGCTGGATCCCGTGGAGCTTTTGGAGGCGAGAATGGTAGCCCGGCTTTGAAGCGCTGGTTCTTGCGGAGGGTAGAAACCCGAAACCACCAACCCACCGGGCTCCTTGCCACCAATGAGAGGGAGGCTGAAACATGTTCTTTTCTGATAAACCACCCTTGCCTCATGCTAGTGTTTTCTTGGAAGGGAATCATGGAGGGAGGGAAGGTTCTCAGGTGTTCCCAGCTGGGGTGGGGATCTCACAAACTTGCTGTGGCGGGTGATCAGGACTTCAGTCTGCAACCATATCGAAGGTTGCGGACGCGTTGCTTGAGCCACCCGGTCTTACGGGATTGCAAGTCAAGCGACAAACTGAGCCCGTTGAACATGACCGACGGGACGTGGTGTTGCACGTTGGCGGAGTCGTGCTTGATGCTTATGGCTCATCATGCACGTAGGCTGAGGATTCTACTGGTTCTGGTGATGCTGGTGATGATGGCAGGATGCTGCTGTTTTGCTGCTGTGATTCTGGCCAGATGGCCAGATGGTGGCCAGATGGTTGCTGGATGCTGACCAGATTCTGGTGCGATGCATTCTAGAATGTAGCTGATGTCATCTCACGTGATGCTGCCAGGGTGCTGTTTATGCTGACAGTTTGGATGATGGTCATGCGGTCTTGATCTGGAACCCAGCAAACTGATGGGGAGGGAACACACGCTACCCCCGAAGCCAGAAATTGGACGAATTGTCAGACACCCATAGCCAGCCGATGGAACACGACAAGGACAAGGAGGAAAAGAAGAATACACACCGACGGGCATCGGGTTGCAAGGCTTGTCCTGTGTCTTCAATGTCTGTCTGAGGCAAAATATGCCAAAAGAAATGGACCCGTGCTTGATTGCTATATTGGGTAGCAGTTGTTTAGACCTTAAAACGTTTGCTTGTCATCTTTTGTCGGTTTCCGTATTGAAGATTGAACCAACAGAACGTGTGCTGCTCAGGGTCGTCACCGCAACATACTGCACGGGTGAAGCCGAGTCACGCGGGTGACAAAGCCAGGAGCAGAGCAACTTCGAGGAGACTCTCTCGACTGGGAAGGGGTCCAGCAATTGGTGCCCTTCTGAAGCCCTTTTTTGGTTGGGAGGGTTCCCCTAAAATAGACTATACAGTAAAAAGGGCACCAACTTATTCCAACCTCTCTACTGGAGGACCTAGACAGGGTTGTGGTATCAAGGGGTTTATCCCCACTTCTGTGATGCAGGGGAATCTCCCTCTTTAATAGGGGAGTGGGTGTTAGTCATTGGGAAGCCCTTTTTGTCGCATCGCAGAGGTGGTCATTTCCCACAGCCCTGGTAGGGAAGACCGGGAATGAACCTGGGGATTCCCTAGGGGTCATTCCATTTCTCATTCCCTGCCTATCGCACCAGCAAGTTGTGGGCACGTACCTGCAGCCTACCTGTAGACATGGCTCGCTTTCCTTTTGGTTTGCTGTCAAGCACCTAAAAGTCTAGTAGATTGCCAATCTTACGACCTAGCACCCACTTGCTTAAGTAGGAATGCCCGTTATTTTGCCGTTTGATGGTCGAGTTTGGTTAGAACAAGCGTAAATAACACATTTCTCACAGTTCGGGCGGGATGGCTACACTCACAAATTCAATTGTTAGTGTTCACGTCGGTCAGAGCACCTGGTCACTGATATTCACCTCACATCAAGATGTTTAGGGGTATGTTAGGTATGTTGCAAAAGGAAGTTGTTTTTCCTGGCTGATATTGACAGCGTTTGGTTCTCGTGGAAGCCCGATGATTATTAATATGCAAAACCCAACGCAGCAGCTGTGCTGGTACCTGTTTTTCTCTCAGTTGTGATGGTTTGGGTTTCATGTTAGGCTGCGGCTTCTAGGCCCATTTGTTTTCTCTTTTGCGAAGGAATACTTCCCTGCGATCGCCTTGTATCATGTCTGCAAGTCAAACAATTGGAACTCGAACCAACATCCAGAAGTCATTCAGAAGTCTTGGCACCTTTGCGCACATCGAGGCTTTCCCAAGGGGTGGTGGTTCCTGACTGGATGTTTTGCACATCCGAGAGGCCCAGACCATCTCGGGGCAACCCACCGGCAGCTTGCACCTTTTGAAGTGACCCCCGGTGGTGTGTGACTGCCACTGGTAAACACGCAAAGCCGAAACGAATTTGGAATCCACCAAACCACTATTAGTGTGCTGCTGGTTTCCGTTTAAATGATCAAAGACACACTCCTTCCGCGTTTGTGTGGGGCAGACAATGAAACTGTCTTGAAAGTTTATAAACCTTATGTAGGCTTATTCCTTAGCAAATTGATACCTTTGTTTTGGGGAAAATGTTGTTTCGGGAAAAACAAAACTATCTTCGGTCCAAGGGAACACAATCTGAGCAAGTTCTGCAACACACGGTGTTTTACAACATTTTGTTGGACCTCTAATTTTCTTGAAATTTGAACTTTGAAACACCTCAAACCTAGAGTCTGGAGATCAGAATCCTCGAAATGTCTACTCCAAGCCTCACAATTTGGAGACGGGAGTTTTGCAACATGTCCAAATATGATTTTACTCTGATTTGAAGTGGAATGTGGAATGGACAAAGTCTTGTTTGGGAAAAATCAGTCTTCGGTCCAAAGGAACACAATCTGAGCAAATTCTGCAACACACGGCGTTTTACAACATTTTGTTGGACCTCAAATTTTCTTGAAATTTCAATGTTAGAACACCTGAAACCTAGAGTCTGGAGATCAGAATCCTCGAAATGTCTAATGTTGGATTCTCCAAGCCTGATAATTTGGAGCCGGGAGTCCTCCAACATCTCCCAATAGGATTTCCTTTCCCAATAAGATTTGACTCCGAATTGAATTGGACTGTTGAATATAATTTAGTAAGGACATAGTTCACCACAATTCAGAATTCATCACACTTTCTATATTCAATCAGAAGTTGAATGGGAATTCCTTTCCACATGAGGACAATTAACATTTAAGTAGAGTCTGAATATACTTGAATACAGACAGAATTCTATTGACTTTTGAGCATAAAAGTTAAACCAGGAATCCCTTCCCAAATATGATTTACATTTGAATAGAGCTTAATCCGGAGAGAATTCAGTTGGCCTTTGCAACCAAATTTTAATAGAAACTCATTCCCACATATGATTTAGATTAAATGTGGCTAAACAAATAACGGGCGAATATCCCCAGACTCCCAAAATTGGTCTGGAGATGTTTTTGGCATGTGCACGTCTCAGAGCTTTCATTGTCAGGACATGGTGCGCTTTTCGGCCTGTGGAGGTTTCAGAGCAAACAACCTCATTGTTCAATGTTTGTTCCCTGGTGTACTCAAAACCACTGTAAAAACAGTGTTTTCAAACCAAGCCAGACTCGAATCTGGAAACGGATTCCATTTTCGCTTTGTTGCCTTTCAAGCTTTAACACAACAAACATGTGCTGTCATATAGAAGGTTAAATAACAACAAACACACGGTATTTTACAGAGTTTTCAGGCATCTGCAAGAACGAGGCACACTGACACCTTCAACTAGAAGAGAGGAAAGGTAAGCCATATATATATATACATATGTATGATACATATATATATATATGTATATATAATGTATACTGGCCTTTTATGTTTCGCCAGCATGTTGCTCCGCTTGAGCCATTTGTGGTCGGTACTGGCTACAGAAGTTGCCGGGGTATAGAGAGATACTGACAAATCCTGGGCAGTCCGCCCTGCATTCCGGATAGCCCGACCAACATATTCTCACATCCTTTCCTCTAGATTTCCGTGGCTTTTGGGAGTTGCGACGCATTCAACCCGGGCACGAATCGGTGGCTTGGATTGTTGGTTTGTATTTGAACCTCTGGTGCTTTGTAAAGAGTAAACGTCTCACCCGAAAACTCACCTCAATCCAAACCACCAACCGGAGGGAAGCTGATTTGGACCGTGCTACACTCGATCCGACTAACATGGAAGCTCCCAGCAGGCCCTTGCACATGGCCACATCCTTTGGCTTTTGGGAGTTGCGAGGCATGTGAAGGCATGTTGGAGTTCCTTTGAGCCATGTTACCCTCCCACCAATCAGAAGGAACCCGACGTTCGGGTCCCTTTAAAAGAAGCATGATCCAAACCAGGCACCCCCGGAACGTCAGGGTCCTTCTGTTCATGGGAGGGGCCAGGGGAAAATCCTCCCGTTTGGGCTGCCGGAAAAGCGCCCAGGACGAGCTGCTGAGGCATCCCATGCCGCGCCTTTCCCCACAGATCCCGGAGGCCCAACTTTGGGCCTATGGGGAGCTGGGGTCGAGACCTGCAGAGATGGAGGCTTTTCTTTTTTAGGGGACGCCCCTAAATGGAATCTGGTGTTCCTTTTGGTTTCCCCAGGGAAACCACAAACAACAGGTACGCGTAAAAAGCACAAGCACACACACACACACACCCATGCTGTACTTGAGCTTAGCAATTTCAAAGTAGAGTCTTCCCAACTGCAAGCGGGCGATTCTGTTTGATAACGACCACCCATGGGACTGACAGATCGGTACAAGGGGCCCTTGGGCAACAGTTGGCTTGATTACAATGACCTATATCGCGAAGAGATCCAATTTGGTGAAGCGGGAAACCAGATTCGGAACAGCTTGCAATGTGCCACTCAGCCGAACTGCTGTTGATTTACAAGTATGGGGTATGTCAATGAGTACGGGGGCTTCTGTGTTTGCTGCTTTGTAAGGAATCCACCACACGCTAGGGATGATTGAAAGGATGTTAGCCGGTCGAAGAACTGAGAGTTTTTTCACCACAAAACCCACAGAACCCCCAGGAGTTTGCAGGCGACCGCGCGTTGTTGACTTTCCGGGGGACTCCTCGCTGGTAGGCTGCAGTCTTGCAGTGCCTGGGAGGCGCCCGGGTTCGGTTGAAAGGAGCGAAAAGTTGGGGTCGACGTAGGAATCGAGGTTTCTTTATGGCTATTTGGCAACGGGATCTTTGGACTTTTACTTTTTAGGGACATGGAGTTTTCATGTGACATACAAAAGTGAGCGGTCTCGCCAGCAACCAAGGCTTGAAAGTTGTTTTGTCTCGTTTGTGGGCCGTAGTTTGGACCATGGAGCCTGAGTTTGTTTCAAGATATGTCAAGTCTGAAGGCTTTTATAACGTACCCAGCCTTATTCTAATCGGTTCAGCCAGGCATTTATATCAGATGGTTTCCTATGGCTTTCTTATCATCCCATCAAATGATCCACATGTCAGCTTGAGCCCACAAGTGATCGCAGGTCTCGGGGAATCTGGAGTGCAACTAGCAAGCCTGGGGTTTAGCCGGCTGTGTAAGGCTTATTGATTTTGTGCTCTGAAATGCACTGTCCTCTCATGTGTTCAAGGTGCGTACATGATGTCAACTTCAACCGAACGTCCGTCCGCCAACAACGCTTGCACATGAACGAACAAGCGATTGACAAGTGACAATCATACGAGCACCACTGCGCGCGCCCGGCAGGTACTGAGTTTCCGCCTGCCGAGTCCCATTGGACCCTGAAGGCACGCTGCCCCCGCAATAGTGCGCAGGTCTACGACTGAAGACTTGCCCGGCAAAATCATCAGCACATGCACACCGCGCGTGCCGATCGAGACTCAGCGCCCGCCCACCGAATGATTCGCAGACCCGCACACCGGCGAGACAGATGCGCCTGACGAGTGGTATGCCCGGGCGGCGACCCGCGCTGAACTTATATGACTATGCCAGGAACAATTGGGGAACACCATGAAGTGCTGAGGCCAGTTTCTCCTTGAAAATGTGCGGCTGCCGTTCAATCCTCAGTTCTCCTATCGTCAGGAAGGTCTTCAGTGTCGAATGCCTCAAGGCACGCGCCCCATTTATGAGCAACAAGGATATGAACTGGCTGAGCAAACTGAGTGAGATGATGAGTGCATTCATGATACTGTGGATGGGCAGAATCAGGCATGCTAAGAAACCTGGATTGATGAACCAACCAACAATGGTTTCTCATGGCTTCAAAGTCGATGTCGTCCGTCAGTACCACAGGCAGATCTGATGCGGACTTAGCATAGTTTTAGGCTGATTGACCTGAAGAGAAAGACGCCAGCGCAATATCCGTGCTTTGCATTGAGGAGTCCTAACTGCCGAAATTGCAGTTTGCGAGTGCTGCTCTTGACTAATTCCACAAACACGAACCCCATCCGGTGTGCACGTTACCAACTGAGAATTGTTGTTCCCCATTGCCACACGAGTCTCACATGTGCAACCGTGGGTGTTCCCCTGTGTGCGCACACCGTGAACAGCTCCCCGAAAGGAGTAAAAGACCCTTGATGTCTGAAGGTCTGGCTCGCCTCGAAACGCCCGTCAAAGCTGAGGAGCTGGGCAGCAACACGTCAAACATGGACAGCATCAACACGGCATGACAAACTCACTTCCTCAGTTCATGAACTTTAAACTTTTTGGGAAGACCATTTTAGTGGCAAATATAAAGTTCGAACTTTTTTGGGCCATCCACTCAGCAAGTGAGCAAGTGTCGCCAGGCGCCCTGGGGCTCGATGACGAGGCGGCTCACGTGCGCAGCCGCCTGCGGGGCCGGGAGGAGGCTGCGAAGGCCGGAAGCCCAAAATGGGTTGCCCTGGTAAGTGGAAGGACTAAAGCCTGTGGTCCAATTCCTAGTGTCTTCAATTTTGACCAGCTTTTCAAACGATGTTGGTTGCACTCCGAAGTGGTACTGCTTCCCTTGCACTTCCAGGGGCTCTCTCATTTGGTGACAGATGCGGGCCAGGTCTTTGTTGGGCTCGGATGTGAGCCCTGCCTTTTTTTCTCCATGTGTGTTTTTGTCATTGTTTTTGCTCTTGCACAATCTCTCTTGACTTTGACGAGATCTGACGAGCGGTCCATGGCTGAGCGGCGGTCGTCGTCGCAGGTGGCGAGCCAGGAGTTTCTGCTTGACTCAGTTTACCAGGTGGCCAGAGCCCGGAGTGGCGGGTGGGGGTGGCAGGTGGAGAAACGGTACCTCTTGGTCCTGGATCGTTCTTGAGTTTGGTCACTTCTTGGGTTTGGACCGTTTTTGTGTTAAACAAAAAGTTTGGACTTTTTCTGAGCAGTTGTTTGTTCTGAAGCTGTCAGACATGTTCGAGGATGTTTTGGAGTGTCACTTGCGGGAAAACTGTCAGGCATCCACTGAATATGGGAAGTATCGGAGTAACTTACGCAGCGTATGCGGGGAAGGGGGGGTGACGACCCCTATGGAGTTGGATTTGCTGGTGGTCGAGGCTTTCAAAGATTGATACTTCAAGTTTAAGATCCGCGGTTGCTATACTCTTCCTTCTCAAAAGCGATTGAACTGCACCGAAGCCGCTGTTAACCGTTTATGGTGTGCCCTTCTCAGATGTAGCTTGATTGACCGGAGACGGTGAAAGTTCAGATCGGACGTCGGAGAGTGGGAGAGCCGGAGGAGCCCCTGGATTTTCAGACACAAAGGGTCCACAGAGTCTGAACTTTGGCGCTTGGCGGCAGGTGAAATGGGGCTTGTGTGCCTTCATACTAGGGGTTGATTCCTTGTCCATTCTTTTCAGCCATCCTTCTTTTCAACAACGGATCGCCATTTCCCCGGGTTTTTTTGGTGGTTTTCTAGAAAGATTCGGATCCCGATTGATTTAGGGCCTTCAAACAACCTGGTTCTGAGACCCCCGATTCAACCACCTCCAGATTGTCTAATGGAGAGGTCGGGTCTTCCATCGAAAGCCCCAGAGGCCCAGGGCCTCTGGGAATGATTCGGATCCCTGGAAAGAATGAAAGTGGAAGCTACCCAGAATGCAAGCCGGTGCAAAGCTTCATGAGGCCCTGCCCCAGTTCCGGGTGGTTCTGGACTTCAGCGAGCTGCGAGGCAGGTGCCGTGGCGTTTGAAGGATACATCCCGCTCGAGGCTTGGGTGCCAAAGAGTGGTTGGGGCAATAGTGTCTTTGTTGCATTTTGCCAAGGGATGTTCGGACTTTAGCTTTTTGCGAACTAATTGGTTTTCCATTAAACCACTAACAAATAAACTTTTAGCAGAGGAGCAGAAAGCAACCGAGAGTGGGTCATGTCCAAAAGAGGTAAGGATTGGCCAAAGCTATGACTTGTGCCTCCCAGTGTTTCCTTTCGGAATTTATGAATAACTTGCTGGTGCGATAAGTAGGGAATGCCCGAGTCCGGGTGTTGGGGATGAACCAACAATTTCCCTGAAAGGAAGCCAAATGGGGGAGGGTGCATGGTTTATCTTGGGGTCATTCCATTTCTCATTCCCTGCCTGTCAAACTTGCAAGGTGTTTTTTCTCTGACTTGGGTTCTGCCTTCTTTCCGCCACCTTACAAAATGGGGGTCATGCCCCCTTGCTTTGGGTAATGGCCTCATGTTCAACGGCTCAGAGGGAGACTCCAGGTACACGATCCAACCTGGGCGGCTCCCAGCCATCCCCTTATCTTTTTAGCCTTTTAGTGTTGAGTGATAGGTTCCATTTACTCCACTAAAAGCTATAGTCACTCTTTTTCCGAGGGATCTGAAAACGGGCGGCCCAGCAATGGCCAAAACGCGAATCAATCCCTGGTCAGGGGAGTTGCTGGCAGTATTGGAGGGCGATCTGCCGGGGTTTTCTGTGACCTACAGCAGCCACCTGGACTGCAGGCGCCGGAGATCTGCTCGTTTCGTCAGGTTGAACCATTCGCACTCCCTGGGTTCAACTGTTCCTTCTTTTTTTTTGGGGGGGGGAGACCGTTGCAGTGGTAAACAAAGAGTTTGGTAAGCAAGCAGTTTGGACCTCTTTTTTTGGCCAATCCGCTCAGGAAGTGAGCCTGAGTATGCATTGTACAATCTGCAGATCGGCGTGCGGGTCTGCAGGTTCTTTGCCTCCAAACCGTCCTGAAAGGGATTTCAACCATCTCCCTTTCGGTCCTTTCCCTTTGTATCCAAGCGATCTGAGAAAGACATTCGGATGGGAGTGTGGCATTCTAGTTGCAGCCACCGTGGCTGAAGAGGGTCATGGCTGCGGGATTAGTCCATAGCTCAAGCACGTGGTGGCGCCGCAGGTTAAGATACTCTTTCAACATCCTCGGCACCTTCGGGTGCCAAATCTCTTCGTGTATCCCTTACAGTTGCGGGGTCTCTCCTGTGCGCCTCAACTTCCGGCGCTCCTTTGGGGCGAATATGCCAAAGCACCGGGATCGATCCCGCCACTCAGAAGACCCGAGAGTCGGTCGCGCGTCCGTCCGAAAACGTCCGCATGCGCCAAACGCCGGGCCAAACGCCGGGCCGGGGCTCGGGGCGAAGCGCGGGGGAGGTTTCTGGCGGTGAGCAGCAACTGGGCCAAGTTCCAGGAGACGGAGCTGTGCCAGAGCCACGCCGAAGCCTTCAAAGGAGATTTCTGGGGGTCTGCTGAGGATCGTTTTTTCTGGGACCGAGGGACGGAGAGATGGGATGGATGGATTGGTTCCTTTTTTGTTTTTCTGGAGGGCGATGTCTGGTGAACCCCCTCTGACTTTTTCGAGGCTATGCCTCTTTTGGATGGATGAAAGCCTGGAAACCAAAAAACACACGTCTGGGTCTCATCTGGGTGTGGGAGGGGGGTTGGAAGGCTCGAGTGAGTCACGTCCTCAAAACCAATTAAGGTTGGTATTGACAGTCCCGCAAACGGGTGCAGGTGCGGATATCCGCCTTGGTAGCTCTGGTACCGGCTAATGAGGCTGACTCAAGTGGTGGGCTCTTGGATTGGCCTCTTTGGAACTTACTCCCTGAGTTCCAGGATGGTAAACTTATTTTCTTTTTATGGGGGGATGGCCAACTTACTGGCAAACACATCGTTTGGACGTGTGTTGACCCATTTGCTGAGATAGTGACCTGGTTGGTTTGGGCCCAAGGTCATGGAGTAGCGTGATTTAGATGTGACATATGGGCGTGGCTCAAAATTAAACAACTGGGGTTACGCAGGTTGTCGCATTTGGTTCCATTTGCCAAGGTGCCATTTCGGTACATTCATTTGACCTACAGCCATATGTGCAAGATTTGGGAGCAGCAGCGTTGCGTTAGATGCTGATCTTCAAGCGTTGCCAGTAAAGCAGAAAGCTCTGAAATAGCGCCTTGCCATGCAGTCGTGCTGGGCCTCACGTGATTGCTCAAGTTGTCTTCATCTCCTTCCCTGTCAGCATTGGGTCGCATCCTTCCATTTGCTTAAGAATATCATTGATTTTCCCCTGTTGGTTGCAAAGGGAATCTATCACTACTGGACATATTTTCCCATTTTTCCAGAGGTCTTGACCCATTGGGTCGCAACGCATCGCACTGTGTTTGCGGATGAGAAAACCCAACACCCCCGGCATGAGGTTTTCCCCTCGCGGCAAGCGAGCGGGCTCGAGGAGCCCCTGCGCTGCACTGGGAACAGCTGCAAGTGGAGTCCACCAACTTTGGGGAGATGAAACGCCAGGCCAGCGACTCAGGACTTGTGGCAAGAAGGTTTGCTTAAGGACGTCTCACCCAGTTGTTTTTTGTTGTTTGTTCCCCTCCTTCATGCGGAGGGTGCTGCTTTGCCTTGTTCGATTCCATGAACCATGGTGTTAAACAAGAAGCCGGTGTGCTTGTTGTCTTCTTAAGGCACGTTAACACACACACACTTTTGCGGGGGAGAGAGGGAGAGAGAGAGAGGGAGGGAGAGAAAGAGAGAGAGAGATAGAGCACAACCATGGAATGCTATATTTTTCAATGGCACCGCTGCCACTTGCACCAGCACCCACGTGGTGCGCACATGTCCAGCACCGTTGGGCTGCCTCCTTTAGGAACCTCCCAGGTGGTTGTTTGCTTCCTTGCAGCGAAATGATGGCACATGTGGGAACATAAGGAACTTTTTGTTTTTCTGAAAAGCTTACGGAATGGCCATCAACCTGGGAACAACTCAAGCAGGGTGTTATTGTTTGTCATCGTCATAGGAGCTTCTGCGAAGCAGCCATGTCGATTGCCTTGCCTGCCAATTTTGTTTGAGGTTTGCTTGCAACTTGGCTTGCATGAGGTACTGCCTGCCGAAATTGCAGTCTCCACTTGACTTTTCCAAAGCAAAGCCAACCGCAGGTCCGCATGCAGGGGGGCCTCACCGTGGACCTGCGCCGACTATGGCCGTACCTCAGGCAGAGGAATTGGCACATGGCGGCTACTTGTTCGCCCACAGCTCGGTTGATTCAGCATTCGCCAAGAAGCAACCAACCTTGCACAAGCGTGTTTTTCCTCCTTTTGGCGCTTTGGGGAAGCCAAAGTGGAACGGGCCCCATTTGAAGGTGTCTTATTTTGAGGGGACAGAAGGATGGCTGTTCTCCATTTGGTTTTCTTTTAACACCTACCCCAAAACGGATTCTGTCAAACAGATGATTTGGTTTTGGGGTTTGTCTCATCCGCGGTTTTCTTGTAACACCTACCCAAAAAAGGGCGCCCTCAGACAAGCGACCTGACCCGCCCATTTTGGTTTTGGGGCTGCAGGAACTTCCCGGGTCTGCGTGACCTGGAGCCGAACTTGCTGGCCTTCGAGCGGTGGTTCCCCAGGCCAGCGCCCGGGTTTTCCGAGCACCGGGGAGTTGTTGTTTTGTTTCTTTTTTCTCCCGGTTCCCGGGTGTTTTGTGGCTGCTTGGGATGTATCCCGGATTGCCTGGAGTGGGGTGTAGGCATGCCAACCCGAGTTTGTGACTTGCGGTTCCTGAGCCCTGCGAGTGTATCCGCCCGCCCAAGCATGTTGTCATGCAGGACAAGGGCCCGGTCGACAAACCAATTCAAACCATAGGTGTCCTTTTCAGGGTCGTTTGGTTAGAAATAGACAGCACTGATTTAGCTTGTTATTTTTGCCATTTACCAGGGCCATCTATTTGGCCAAAAGGTCACCTATGATTCAAACCCTCGTAAAAAGTTAGCGACGTTTCAACATTGGGATCTGGGGTGTGGGGTGCACAGATGATTCCTTTGAAGAGTTTGAACATTCTGTGGATGGAAATCTTGCACCAGTTGGTAGGTGGTTGATCCCATTATTTGTAGGGCTTCATCTATCCCAAGTGGTGCCGGATTTCGTCCATCCAGGAGTTCTGGATCAGACGAGTCACTCAGAGAGGCAATGCTTAGTTCCTTGGGTCCCCTTGGTTTTCCGACAGGGATTGTTCAGGATTTCCTAAGCAACAGCCCAGATTTTCTTGAAAGGAAGCCGGCAGGAAACTGATTGAGGAACTGTTTGGAGGGGTCTAACTCCCTGTGACAATCCGAATATTTGGAAGACGGCGAATGTTGTCTCGTTGAAAAGGCGGTGGTCCTTCATCCGGCCATATGTCCAACCTGGGAACCGACCAAGAAATGCCTTTTCGAGTTTGATTGAATTCCTTGGAAGCCCGGCCACCAAGGGCCCAACTCTTTCTGGCATCCTAAAGGATAAGACATGTGCTTTTCACGCAACGGGCTTTTGAGAGTTGCTTTGCAGTCTACACCGGACCCCAGTTTGGGGGCCGAGTTCCTTGACTTTTGGGGCTGGGTCTCACATGAGACACCCTCGGTTTCCAACAGGGTGGCCCTACTCCCCCCCCGTTTTGCAGTGCCCCTCCGATCGCTTGCACAGGACCGACATTTGCGTCGTACTGTGGATGGGCAAAATCCATTGCGCACCAAATTAGAAACCACGGTTGAAATCATAACGTTTGTTGGCATTTACGGGAGAATCGAATCATTTCAGGGTTTCTTAGGTTGCAGGATTTCATCCGTCCACAGTAGAACCCAATTTCCTTGAAATTCAGCGGTTCACCCAATCCAGGTGCCCCTTCCCGAGACTCAGGCAGCCTCGCGAGACTCAGCTGGAAGCGGCACTGGCTGCTCCCGGTGTGGGGAGGCCGGGAGGCCGTAAGCTACAAGGAATCTGTATTCCATGTAACAATATGAACCCACGATTTCTAAACCCCGTGATTCATAGAGGAACGGTTCAGTCAAGGAAACACCCGCCTACTCACCGCAGGTGAATGTGTTGTGAGTCGATAATACCAGTCTTGCGATGCTTGGAGAAGCTAGAGAGCGACTATCCATTTCAAGGTTCTTCCTGACACACACACCCAAATGGGAATGGTGCGTGAACACCTGCAGACCTCTTGTCTTGACACATGCTTAAAGGATTCTGTTGCGTAGGGACTTCCTGTTCCCAGCAAGCAGAGGCTAGAAGAGAAACAAGGTGACCCCGCTGACAAGAGCAGTGGACTGGGAGACCGCAGGCAGACCACCTACATCTTGGACGTGCCTCTCTTGCGGCTGCCCCTAGGCGAGGCGACTAAAAGGGGTGAGGCTGGTGTAGGTTCAGCTCGGAGGGGGTGATGAGTTGGTCGTGGTTGGAAGGGAGCCGTTAGGGAGCTGGGGTATCCAAGCTTGCTCTGAAGAGAAGACTTCAGAGCTACCAGGAGTACTGTAAGAACATGGTAGGAATCATTGACTGCGACGCACTTGTCAAAGCTGGCAAGCGCATCTCTTGTGCAGGCCCCTGAGAGTAACGGCGAGCGCCTTGCTCAGTCTAACTGTCCAACTCCTCCCGTTTTTGGGGAAGCCGAAGCGGGCCTCGCAAAATGCTGAGTCTTTCTCCGAGAAGATGCCTGCGTGTTGGAAGAAAGCGCGGCGGAGGGGCCCTGGAGGTTCCAGCGAAGCAACGGGTTGTATAGAAAATTACCACCTTGCGGGTGTGTTGGACCCCCGCAAAAAAACAAGAATATGATTTTTTCCCTGGTACAAGCCACACAAAAAGCCGTCAGGGAGCCGGTATGCAGATGCGTTTGGAAATCGGGTACCAGGAGGTCTCTGAGAACGTCTCCTTGCCTAGGTCCCCCAGTAGTGCCCTTTCACCGTTTCTTTTTTTGGGAGGGTTTCCCTACCAAAATCGACAAAACAGAAAAAAGAAACGGTACCAACTTATTCTAAGCTCCAAAACTGGAGGACCTAGCCTAGTTGGTGGTTTGGAGTGGTGGTTTAGGTTTAGGTTTGGACTACAGAAAAAAGGGTACTTGTATTCTAACCTCTCAAATCTGGAGGACCTTGCCCCGAAAAACGGCGCCATCCCCGAGCTCGCAGGCTCCGCTTCGGTGCCGGCGCTGGAGGTGGTGGCGGTGAACACAAGGCTCAGCTACAGCCCCGGCCCCGGAGCGCAGAGAGAGATGGCGAGTCGAGGTTTGATTCCTCGGTAAAGAAATATCTGACTTTGGGTCCCTAGGAGCTTGGACCTGATTGGTTTGATTGGTTTGATTGGTTCGATTGGTTGATTGGTTGGTGGTTTGATTGGTTCGATTGGTTCGATTGGTTTGATTGGTTGGATTGGTTGATTGGTTGGTGGTTTGATTGGTTCGATTGGTTCGATTGGTTTGATTGGTTGGATTGGTTTGATTAGTTGCATTGGTTTGATTGTTTTGATTGGTTGATTGGTTGATTGGTTGGTGGTTTGATTGGTTCGATTGGTTCGATTGGTTTGATTGGTTGGATTGGTTGATTCGTTGGATTGGTTGGATTGGTTGGATTGGTTTGATTGGTTTGATTGCTTGGTTGATTGGTTGGATTGGTTTGATTGTTTGATTGGTTGATTGGTTGGTGGTTTGATTGGTTGGATTGGTTTGATTGGTTGGATTGGTTTGATTTGTTTGATTGGTTTGATTGGTTGATTGGTTGATTGGTTGGATTGGTTTGATTGGTTTGATTGGCTGATTGGTTGATTAGTTGGATTGGTTTGATTGGTTGGATTGGTTTGATTTGTTTGATTGGTTTGATTTGTTTGATTGATTTGATTGGTTGATTGGTTGATTGGTTTGATTGGTTGATTGGTTGATTGGTTGGTGGTTTGATTGGTTGGTTTGGTTGGATTGGTTTGATTTTGGGTCCCTAGGATCCTGGACCCGAAACAAATACATATGCGGGTCTTTCAGCCCGCACAGGCCTCAACAAAATGAGGTGTTTGTGGCTCCGAGGGGTTGGTGGCTCTCCCCAAATTGTTTGCTTCAGCCCGCTCTCCTCGCAAGCTGCTTACGTTTTTTGCTTTGTTCAAAGGCAAGCCAAAAGGAAGGCCAGCAGTTTCGAGGACCACATGTAGGCCACCCATCCCAAAGGCCCAACAATTGGACTGGGACGAGCCAATCAAACGGTGACAGCATTTGGGTGCTACGAACACAGCGCTCCCTTCAGCGTAGCAAGAAGTCGGCTATGCCTACGTCTTCAGACGTAGCAATATGCCCAGCTCTTGATTCTTGTTGCCAGCAACCGTGAGTCTGCTATCTCGAAGCTCAAGTTGGAAACTCAGACAGTTGGAGGCAAGGCATGCAGGTGGATTTCAGCGCAAGCTTTATTTGGTCTTGCCGACAGAGGTACACCAGATGTCAAGTATCCTTAGTATCTCATCTTCTTTTTTGGGATCTGCAGAATTCACCTCAAAATCAAAGCTGCCGACATGGTCACGTCGCTCAACATACGAACGCTCAACTTGGCTGTGTCGCTAGATTCGAGCACAGAGTGCGGCGGGCTGAATGCCAGCGACCCGGAATTTTTCCTCCGCTGTTTTGTGAAAACCCCAATACTGTGGATGGACAAAATCCGTTCGCACCGCTTGGAAACCATGGAAAACCATTGTTGGCATTTGCAGGGGAAGCATCATTCAAAGGTTTGATAGGTGGTGCAGGTTTTCGTCCATCCACAGTAGGGCGCCGCCTGCAGGTTTCTCGGGGAACCTGAGCTAAACACGGAGCCACTGCCCAGCTGAGGCTCCCTCTACGGCGTGCACTCGCTCTTCCTACCCGAGGTCCAATCCCCCCGTGGGCGGGGACGCAGCGAAACTCGAGGACACTGTGGAACTTGTGGTGATTCCAACGTTTGGCTAAACGGACAGTGTGCCGTTGATTCGTTTCCTTGAGTTGGAGATGAGCCTCAACTTTTTGTCTGATGGGCACAAGCGGCACAAACCCTCCATGGCGAGGTCTCCCATTTCCAGCACTTGGATTGCTGGCTTTGAGGCACATGGTAAAGCCACATCGCTCTCCCTAAAAAGTCACCGCCAGGTTTGGGTCATGGCGCTGCTAGGAATCATGTCCAAAACGCCCATCCCGAATTCCTGAATCCCTTTCGGAAAACAAAATCCAGACGCCCGGGATTCCGTGCTTTTTTTTGGCAGCCGAGAAGGCAAGAGATTGGAGACGCTTTGGGCAAGGAAGCCTATCTTTCTACGCAGGCACCATTTTGAGCGGTCATTTTTGCGGTGGGTCACGTTGCCAGAAGGGTATGAAGGGTTTGCTCGATGGAACCAGGTTACCCAGGTGTCACTTCTAAAGCCTCAGGATGCCGGATGCCTCATGCCTTTTTTGGCGTTGCCAGTCGGTCGAGTCGGCCAGGGGCAGATCCTTTGCCCTTCTTTGCCGTCGCAGAGAGGGAGGCAGACGCGACATGGGCGGTGGCCAACCCCCGATTCGGGGGCATTTTCGGGTTTGTTTGTTTGGCTCAAGCTTGCTAGGTTGGCTCCATGTGTTTTGAACATGTTTTTTGAATTTACAACAACCACGACACCACCCTTGGGAAGAGAGTGCGCTATGGGCTTTGTGAGCCTGGCGCGTAGGAGAAGCAGAAGGAACCACGAGGAGATTGGGCCAAAGATGTGGAGGATTCATGTAGTAATTTCGTGAAAGAGGCAATCAGATTCTGGGGCGGGGGGTGCTGGGGGATGTAAAGGGGTGTCTTGCTTGTGAAGATAAACTGTTTGGCGGGTTAAGGGGAAACCGAGCAAGCATTTTAGTGGTTGCCTGATGTGGAGGGTTCTCCATCATTTGTCAAAGGCCCTTGTTGCTACGAGGCTGGAGAGGATCTGAAAGGAAACGGGAGAGGTGGCTCAATTTGCTCGTTGGATTCCGGCACCTTTCTGGTTCTGTGCCCCTTGCAACTCTCCCACGAAGCGCTGACACATGTTTTTAAAGGCCCTGGCGAGGCGTGCAGGCACGGGCACATGGTCGACAAGGCCATGCACAATGCCAGAAACAGGAATGGCTATGAGTTGTTCTCCGAACAGTCACGAGTATGTCGTTGCATAGGTGGATTTGCGTGCAAAAAAAAGGGCCCGGATGGGTTGATGGGATTCAGAGCCTCGGATGCACCCTGCAAGAAACGCCAACACGATTCCCTTAGTGAGATCTATATGCATTGCTTCTCATAGGTGTCCTTTTGTTTTGAAAGAAAAAACGATGGGTTTCGATTCCTGGTTTACCTGGTGGTTTAATATGGTTTAATCATCCACCAGGCCCATCTATTTCCAACCTAAACGGACACCTCTGTTGGTTTCTGTAGCGGAGGCTTTGGGCCCGCGGGCATAGCCAGGCCGCTGCTGGCGATGCAGGAGGTGGTGGTTGAGCGGCTCGGAGACTTTGAACGGAACTGGGCCAAGGCGCTGGGAGAGTTGCGCTGGGTTTTAGTGGGGAGGGGAGGCTGGGCTGAAGGGCCTGCGGGGCCTTGGCGGGCTGTGCTGTTTGGCCTCGTGGGCGGTCGCTGGGTTTCTTTAGATCGCTGGGGTGGCTCTGGCTCCTATGAAACACGCCATATTCCAAGCCTGCTCTACTTATCAGGTGCGGTTCCATGAAAGGCAAAGACTTTTTCACACATGTGCAGCTTGTGTCATGGGCAACCTAGCCTGACCAGTCAAAGGGACGCAAAACATGATTTTCCCCATGGTGAGAGCTTCAAGCTCACGACGTCGACGCTCGAGCGACAGCATAACGAAATCAGCCTAGATTCATGGGTGTGGAGGGAGAAGGTTCTGAATCCTTGGGTGTGGCAAACAGCATCATTTGGGTGCGGCTCAAAATTAAAGAGCCAGGTTTACGCAGGTTTTAGTCTTCGGTTCCAGTGACCAAGGTGCTATTATGGTACCATACGGTACCTCTTTTTGAGGCACAGCCATTTCATCCTGGTCTTCTCAGTTCAAATGATTGATAGAGCATATATGTGTTTTCGGGCGCCGATCAAAACCTATCGACATATTTTTATGCGCGAGTCATGTGACGACGACATTTGGTTCAATCATCCATTGCCATCCATTTGGGAGCGCACCGGAGTGTCTCAAAAGTTGAATTCACACAAAAATGCGGTTTTTCTTTTGGTTTCCCATTGCGCACCGCAAAAAAGCGTAATTACCCTCTAGGGGGGGGGGGGCATGGGGACGCACTACGGTTCCACCCGACAAAAGCAAGGATCACTCGAATTTTCCCATGTGGCTGTGGGTCAAAACCGTTTCGGGATCCCATTTTGGTTGGTAGGTAAATTCACCACCCATTTTAGAACCTATTTTAGTGTTTGGATTGGTTGATGTTCACTGGGGGTACCCGATTTTGGATTTTGACCCATGTCAAGCGCAGTTTTTGACCGGCCATGTGGACTGCAGCACTCCGGCTCGCCGGGGGTTGCGTGCCTTTCTTGTACCGCGCCTGGAGTTCGCCCCGAGCGGTGAGGCGTGGCTCGAGGTTTTGGGTGAGAAATTCCTAAGATCCGAAGCAGTGGCTCTTGTGCAGACCTGAAGAACCTATGGCCCATAGCCCTTCAATGTGTCAAGAGTCAATTGGGTTGCTCTTTTTTGAGGGAACCCCCAAAACAAGTAGTGTCCCTTTGGTTTTCCCTTAAAACAACCCCAAACGGGTAACTACCCTAAAGCAAGACACTCAGCAAGACACTCTTTTCCCGTCTCTCGGCTTTTGGCGTTTGGCTTGTGACTGCATACTGGGTGTGCCGCCGAAGAGCTGGCTGAGTTTCCTTCCCCATGGATAGTCTGAAAGGCTTCGAAACTTTCCTTGGTGGCCCCCAGCCGTCCCCTTTGCCTTTTAGGCTTTTAGGGTTTAGTGGTAGTTTCCATTTATCCCACTAAAAGTTAAACTTTTAGCAGGGGATCTGAGGGCAGTCCAGAAACGACTAGCTAGGAGTCTTTTGAAAAACAACTGCCACAACTCACTGTTCATTTGCTTTCAACAGGGGTCCGGCCCAAGTCTTGTGCTGCGAATTGCGTGCCTCTTGCCCCTTGCAAAACCGGTGTGTTGGATGTTCCTGCATCGGTGGTTGAAGCCTGGTGTGTGTGCGTGTGTGTGTGTGTGTGTGCATAGGTATCCTTCTCAGGTTAGCTTGGTTGGAAACAGATCGCACTGGTTTAGATTAGTCTCAACATTGGTTTTATTCCATTTACCATGGTCATGATTTTTCCGTACTTTTTGGGAAGACCATTTGACTGGCAAATAACAGTTTGGACTTTTTGGGCAACCCACTCGGGAAGTGAGGTGTGTGTGTGTGTGCGTGTGTGTGTCGACAGCTGTTGAATGATTGGGATGATGCAATATTGACGCCTCCGGTCTTTGACCGGCATGCACCCACAGCCTGCGTGTCATTTTGAAGAACCGCACAGGTCCGTATCAGAGGAAACTTGCAAGGGTTGGAAGCTGCAGGAGGAGATGAGTCTTTCAGTTCCTGCGACGCGCGCTATGCTGTGGCAGGGCTTCGTTCCGCCTTTTGTGATGCCACGTTCAATAATTCCTGGTTGCGAAGGCCTTTCACAGACGCCGAGTGGCGCAATTCTCGCAACCCCTTCGTCACCTGAGCGTTGAATGTTCACTATGCCATCTACTGCATGTAGTAGAGGGGATTCCGCAGGCCGCAGTCACCAAATCACGAGCACAGTCGCAGGTTAAGGAGTAGACATTAGCTTAGATCACTTGGGGGGAACATTCACAGCCCCTACTCCACATACCCACTTTTTCTCGGGTATTTTTTGAAAACCTGGGTTTCCATGGTAAATACTTCCTTTTTGAGTAGAAGGTCGACACCATACCCTAAAAAAAGTGGGTATTGGATGTAAGGCGCAGTTTGACCGCGGCTCTCGTTTTCGTCGAGAGGATTGGGCGCTGCAGCCATGGCGGCGCAGTCGCTCAGGGACCGACTGTCGAACTGACTCGGCAACACCCCGTGGACAGGTTTGACGTGTTTGGCACGGGGCCATGACATGAGCTGAATGTGGCTATGGTTGTCAAAACCAATGGTATCCCATTTCGGGGTAGGTGAATTCACCACCCATTTTAGAACCTTTAGTGGGGATTGGGATGTTCACTGGGGGTACGGGATTTTGACCCATGCCCATGGGCGTGAATGTCAATGCGGCCTTGGTGGACATCTCCAGCGTTGATCGGATTTGTGTGGACGAATTCAAAAGTCACGGCCATAGTTGAAGCGATTTGAAGGAGCTAGGACCAAGACCGGGAAGCTCAACCTTGGTCCAATCCCACAGTCAAGTGCAAATTGGATGTACAACGTGCTAGGGATTTCCCAATCGAGTGTACCTAAACCCGACACCGACTGCACTGATTTGATGGGTTTGGTACATTCAGCACAATCTTGGACGAGCTTGTGATGGGTCCAAAACAGCACGACGGGTTTCAGAGGGTTCCTTGCGCGATATCCTGCGGATCATTGGCATAGTCAATGGTTGAAACGCAATCGAAATCAAAGCTCTGTCCCCCCCCAGCCTTGCGAGGAAAACTTGGAACATCCCGAGGGATGGGCCCTGTCAGTCAAGCTCCAGCATTTCTTGTGACACACCCAGAAAGTATGTCCGATGGTCCTTCCTTGCGGTCGCAGAAGCCTCATCCGGCCAGTTGCAACCGCCTGGTACAGGAGGCAAGTAAATGTGAGCCAATTCCGGAAATCCCTGATTGCCGGATTGTAAAACTAGGTTCAGCGAATCTGCACTGAAATGCTTCAGACTGGCTTCCGATTCCTTCCCTTGCTCAGAGGCGCACGGAGAAAATCCTCTTGGTTGGTGGTTCCCTTCTGTGTACCTTTAGGGTCGCTAGGGCCACGTCGGTGTGCTTCAAAATCCGCGCCACTGATATCAGGCCAAAATCGAAATGGGTGACTCAGTGACGAATGTTCTGTGGTCCTTTGGTTTCTCTGTCAACCCTCTACCCCCCAAATTTGGATGGGTACCCACTCGACCGACAGAGCCTCTCAGAGAGTGGGCAGCATCGCACAGGATACCATCAAGGAGAAGATCGCCACAGCGCTCAAGGCTTCGGGCAAAAGGGGACGGGGGAGTGGATCACCAGTGGTCTGTTGTGGCTGTGTTTTTTTGTCTTTAATGGGGGAACCACCTCAAAAGTGCTTTGTTGCATGTTGCTTGGTTGTTAGGACTTTAACTTTTTGCCGACTAATGGGTTTTCCATTAAACCACTAAAAGTCAAAAACTTTTAGCAGGGGAGCAGAAGCAACCGAGAGAATCCCCAGCTAACCACCGAAATGAAGTCCACCAAAGGGTCCCCGTCTCATGGCACGCAGGGGACTGACGAGCCTCGCAGATCGTGTTGAATTCCTACCCCACCCGTCAGGGGTGGGGGTCCTTTGGAGGTTGGAGTTTCTTCTCACACAACCGCCCCCTTCCCCCCCCCCCCGGCCTTTTGACCTTTTGGTTTTCCAATTTTGGTCAATGTTTAGTAAAGGTCCGAACACGTTAACTTTTTCCCGGGTCCCTTGGGGCAAGTGAGCAGCCCGGCGCATGGTGAATGGCAGGCGAGTGCTTGACTTGGGGTCAGCACCATGTTCAGCCTATCACGCGAGAGAAAGCGAGCCCATGTGGGAGAATACTCCTGGCAGTTTCAAGAAATCGGGAGCTCGCCAATCGACCTCCGACAGGAGAATCTGAAGATGGACGAGCGGGAGTTTAGCAATCCCTGGAGCACTCAGGACAGAGCACGACCCCTTGCCCCAAAGGTCGCGCGAGTCGTCCGAGGGCATTTCTTGCAGTGCAGAAACATCCTGAAGCAAGCCCCCGGAGCCCAGAACTGGACTAACTTACCTGAGGGTTTAGTTTCAATCATCACTTCTTGCATTATTGGTTGTGAAGGGTGGCGTAGACTGAAACCATGTGATGCTTCTAATCAGATTTACAAAGGACATGGACACCTTCAATGAGTAGTGATGTAGTTGAACACAACAAACAGTTAAAAGGCGACAAGGCGTTTTCATACGCATTGAAGCCATCAGGAGAGTTCATGAACTAATATAATACACCGATCAAATTAAGATTGTAATGTATGTTAGAGCGCAAATTAATTATTTCCCTCGCATTATAACATGCAATGTTGTATCCAATCAGTATATCATGACAAGTAAAGGGGAACTACAGGTTACGATTGAAAAGATGGTGAAAGAAATAAAGAGTTCAATAATATTAAGATTTCATCAAATTTGAAATCCATACAAATACTACTTATGAAATCTGATTTGTGTTTATTTGATTATGTTGTGATTAATCGGTTTAACTTTTTACGACCTTTCATTATGCTATAATGAACTTATAACAAAATGTCAATGTTCAAAACGATGCCGAACCAACAGACCCACCCAGACATAACAACT